CCAGATCCTGCAAAAACTCCTTCTGATTAAGAGTAAGGAGGAGCGAATGGGCGATTGAGACACGTGTGTGACGTAAGTCGTCTGTCAGTGGGTTAGGGATCCATCGAGCAAAATCTTTCCTGTAACCATGTTCGTGAAGGTGTCGAACAAACTGTGATCGCACTCGAGGAGCCCCGCCAATGTCCTGTCTCGGGCTTATTCTTCGCTTCACTGGGATGTCGGTCGTCTTCAAGAACATCTGGTCGCCCGAAGCTAGGATCGTCGTCGAGCATGTATCTCCAGACAGAACAAGCGAACAATCGAGTTTTTCTCCGAATGCGTTGTTGGAATTGGAGGCAGCGGAACGAGCGCTGGAACCGCGGCGCCATGTAGAAGACGATTGCTCGAAGTTGACTTCTTGACAATTGCGACATGGTTTATACCAGAAGGGCTCGGGGACCTATTTAAATACTGCTAGCGGTAACTCTGAGATTGTTCTAGAATATGGTGAAGTCACGACGGTGGCAAAGGTTCTTGTGGAGACCAACGACCCATGTGAATTTGTGTCGGAATACTTTTGCAATTATCTGGTTATTTTCAAGCATGGCTTGGAGAAAAAAGTCTGTTATATTGAAGACCAAAGATTGGATATTCATCTATTTAAGTTCGAATTTTCAAAACAATAATTTAATTAATTGCGACGTGATCAAAAACTAATTAAATTTGATTTGATTAGCTCAAAACCTAAATTTCTAGGAGATCTAGGAAGAAATAGATGGAAAATAGCGAATCTCCCTCAATAAGGTTGGTGCTGAAGCAATGCACGGACACAACATATGGAAGCGCAGAATCGCGGAAGCTCATTACCACCATTATGTTTCGGTTTCCAAACAGTTTTCTGCCTAAGACGCTGTCGAGATGGCTGAAAAAGTGGACATTGGTGAGATAGAACCTGCTACTGCTAGTGCATTATGTGAAGCAAAGCTGGATAGGTCGATTCGTCCGCCCCTTGGAGGTAGTTTGTGCGACATGTGGCTGGACGTCAACATGTAGAACAATTCTTTTCCTTCTCCTGGATACAGACATTGCTGTTTCCTCTGTGGCGTGATAGACAGACGCTAGTACTGTATCAAGTTCGCCTGGGTGCAGAAAGCTGTGTTGCATCAAGGCCACGAAAATATCAGCGTGGTCCTCACATTGTGGAATTTCTGCTTCGGAGAAAGTGTTTGATGTTTGTGAGTGACCAAGTTTTAAGAAGAATGCTTAATTGTGTTGCAAAGAATCCGGGTTTCGTCGATGACGAAATGCTTCGAAAGTCGCTCAATTTTGTCAAGTAAAACTAGTAGTTGTGGCGAGAACTCTGAGATGCAATTTCACTGCCGCACTGTTAACTTATGCGGTTCCCATTTGTGCAACTTTCTTACCTTTTCAAACACCTTCTGGGACGGAAGTTTCGTTCACAACCCACTCTCGTGAAACTTTAGCAAGGCGAACTGCTGTCAAAAGCAGCAACTAAAAAGCAAAAACAAGTCAAAATAATTGTCATGCATTTTTATCCAATGACATGCCCTTTCTTGAGCATCTCGACATGTAACTTGGCTGCTCTTGCTAAGGACAGACCTGACACGAGAGCACATTCATCTATTCATCAAACAAGGACTTGTACTCCACTGAAGAGAGTGAAGGTTCGTGGACAAATCAGCTTGGCTTGGAACGAATGCACAGAAGCGTGGTGGGCGAATAACAAATTTTATAGCCACGGTTCGGGATTAGATGCCAAAATTGGTTCCTCAAGAGACAGAGGTAGCGGTACCCAAAAGTTAGAGGTGTGAACTGTCGCGATACATAGCGCTAAGAGGGAACGACGCTAAAATCTTACCTCGTATGCTGCTATGCTGCCATCCTTATCATTTGCGGCATAAGTGGCGTTTGAGCCCTCTCGCAATCGAAATGCACTCTTGTCTCTCCGCTCCTTCTAGTTTCTATCCGGCATACCACGACCAACCTCACAAAATAAATCTCAGTGTTTTTATGGCTCTTTGCTTTTTCTTCCCACTGACGTCCACATCGCACTTCTTGTCGAATTTCCGAAAAAAAAACAGCCACCAACTCGATCCCGACCGGTGCGTTTAGCTTCAGATTCATACGTCAGAAATAATTGCCGATTTGACAAAAAATTTTAAAATCTGCAACTTTCTTTGAACCACCTTGGTTAAGTGCCCTATTTACCACAACTGTCTACAAGTGTCCTCTATCTATCGCAAGTGAATGGATACCTCTCCCACAAAACTACGCAACCTTCGACGTCAAGAATCAGTGGATGTCTGTTTTGAGGTGTTCGCCATCATCGTAGTTTTTCTCGTTAAGGAAACGAGCAAGCAAGCGGAACAACTGGTGATTGGTTGCTATACCTTAGTGAATTATAAAGACGGGGAAAATCATGAGGCCAAGTTTCTGTATAGCATTCTGGCATTCCTTCGTTATGTGCTGGAACTGCCGCGCAGAGGAGAGCGGAATCTACATTGGGCGAGTTCACCTATTGGGGCTCGTTGTCGCTGCTGAGCTGCACGTTCCCAGTGACCCCTCCGTAGAATGCTTGGCTAGACTGCGCACTCTTCAGCTTCAGTGATCATGTGTCAAGCCCAGGGTCAAACGAACAGTCGAGGAAAATTTGGAAATACGACCCCCTCCCTCCCCCTGAGGGCGAAGTCCATGAAACAACCCTCTTCAAAACCGAACTATGAAAAGGTTGTCTAATCTTCCCCAAAACTGTTCATAAAAAAGCACTGCTACCCAACCCTCCACCAAAAAAGTCGTTCGAGAAGTACAATATGTAGTAGAACAAGTAAAAGAATGATCACTGTTAATGAGTCCTACCAACAAAAGGAACAAAAAACGACAAACCAGTCACTAAAAATAGCATAATATGGAGCAACGTCTC